CTTAATGCCTAAAGTAGGAATATAACTCATGATCTCCTATTTTCTAGGCTAGCATCTTAGATTATTTCAAACTAACTATTTTTGAGGCATTAGTAAATGGAATCTATGGTGGTATGGAAACACCCTAAATAATGTTTGTCCCTCTTATTTTTAAAATCCATTTTTAATCAATGGGTGAATGAATGGGAATATATGGTGAAATCCCAAATACTAAAATAACAATGGGGGTTATATTTATTAATTTGTTTTATTGGCTCAAATACAAAGAATTTACCCACCTGAGCATTTCAAGTACTGAATTATGCTTTAGATGGGGCTCCCTTCATGAGTGAGGTCAGAACACCTCCCCCTAATAAGACCCTGTTATCTCTTTTATATCAGTCTCTGCATTTCAATTACAATAAACAGAAAGACCCAGAGAGAGGGAATGAGGTTTATTAGATCCTCTTCCATTACCTTCTTACTTCAACTCCTATTCCCAACTGGCCACCAATCTCTCATCTGGAAACTGCTAAATAATTAGTTAAGATGCAGGCAAGCCTCTGGCAGTAATCTGATTTCCTTGGATTGTTGAAAAGAAATCATCAGTTGATGGATTCTCCCTCTGGCTTTCAATATTACCACATTGGAATTAATACATTCTAGATATCTACAAATTAAAATGGTTCTAATATGGTTCTTGCAGTGGAACAATTCTTGAACATATAAAAGCAAATGTGATATAGTTCTAGAAAAGTCTCTAAAAAATTCTAAGCATGGATCCTTTGAGATCAGGAGGAATACATTGCAGTCCCAATGCAATTATATCAGTGTTGTTACAAGAAGCTACATCTGCTGTTTCAGATGGATTTCTACCTGGGAGGGTCCTCATAAGAATTTAATCTCAAAGACAGAGGGCTAATCTCAAGGACAGATGAGCACAGGGGAAAGATTAAGTGAACCTTGTTAAGTTTCAGCTCTTGCAAAATGAATTTCATAGTGAAAAAATATCAAATTAAAAACCAATACAGTGTGAAGCTGTTTATTAATTTGTTTCAGCTATCTCTAATAATAAATGGTAACTGACATTAAGAGACTAAGATCTGGTTTGGATTAGAAAGAACCTACCCCATAGCACAGGAGTCCCCAAACTTGGCAACTTTAAGACTGGTGGACTTCAGCTCCCAGAGTTCTCCAGCCAGTTGGAGAACTCTGGGAGTTGAAGTCCATGCGTCTTAAAGTTGGCAAGTTTGGAGGCCTCTGCAATGGCAACTGTCCTGGGAGCAACTCTTGCTCTAACTTGAAAAAAAAAGATCTTTAAACAGAGCTCAAATTCTAGTAACTGCATCCCGTGGGGTTTTTGTTTTTTGTTTGGCAGCATTACATAAATGATTTATTATTTTGTAAATAATAACTATTTTTATTTCTTGGAACCTTGGTATATTATTGATAAATCCCACCTACTTTGTATATTGAGTCCCAAGGTCAACAGACACAGATTTATAAACACACTGATGTCAAAAAATGACTGTGTTCTCATACCATCTCTACCATCATTCATACCATTTTAGTTTATATAGTTAGTATAAGGATGATTCTATTTGCTGTTTTCTAGGAATCATTCAGGATTTTTCTTTCAGGGGGAACATAATTAACCTCTTCTTGGCATACTATTTTACTTCTGGGGAACCCCCCATTATGAAAAATCACCAAAGGCATAGAAATAACATGTTCCTAACTAATATTCATCTTAGTACTACTCGGTCTGTTTACACTACACATCCTTTTGTTTCTTAAGTGTTATAAGTGGATAGTTGGATAGCAAAGGGAAATAGATCATTGCATAATGGAATGATATATAAACAAAGTTATAACATGGGTCCTGATTTCTTTTCAGAATGTAAAAATGGGGTGTATCTCTAGCATCCTGAAAGCTTACTCTGTACCACTCAGTGCAGCATTTCCCTTGTTATTAAACAAATCATTGCTTTAGAACACAGAAAAAGATCCCCTTTCCCCAGAAAAACGAAGTTAGCTCCAGGCTAGAAGCTTCCTTCACAGGTTTTACTACTTAGATTTTCTTAGAGTTACTTCAATAAGTAACTCAATAATACTTTAAGCAATCACTTAATTTTTACCCCTCATTAGACATTCACTCTATTCCGTTCAAAAGCAATACTAGGTTAACTACTGAATATTGCTTTTGAAAAGTCGGAGGAAAAGCTCTTTGGTTTTCTTATCTTCTTCCTGACCTCCATTCCTGGCAATGGCACTCCTCTGAGCAGGTCTGTCCTTTCTAAACATTATGTAGATATTTCTGGTTCTGCATGGCAGCATTCTTTAAGCACTAGAACTCATCCTTCTCACTTGTTTATTTCAATATATGGTAACATATAACGAAACTGTTGATTAAATCAGATAATCTAGTTTATTTGTCTTCAATTTCAGGGGGCACTATATTTTAAGAGCAAGCAGTTCCACTTTATATAGGAAACACTAAACTCATTTGTAATTTAACAAACATCTGAAAAATTGCTCATTCGTATTAGCAATAGTACTTAGATTTATATACTACCTCTCAGTTTTCAATGTCAGCCTATTGCCCCCAACAATCTGGGGCTTCATTTTACTGACCTCAGAAGGATGGAAGGCTGAAGTCAACCTTGGAACCAGTGAGAATTGAACTGCCAAACTGTTGGCAGCAGACAGTCAGCAGAACTAGCCTGCAATATTGCATTATAACCACTGCGCCACCACGGCTCTTTAAAAGTAAGGTTGAATTAATCATACTTTAAATATTTGCTGTACAAATCCTGATGTGTTTGGAGCAGCTGCTTTTGTCCCACAGAGAGCGGAGTTGCCCTGTAACTGTGAAAATTGCAAAAAGCATTTCCTATATAGGCAGCTACAGTATGATTGAGATTTCTGCCGAGTCCAAGTAAACCTGGGGATACGATTACAAAACATATAAAGCCTGGATGAGTTATTAACAAAGTGATCAATGAGGACAAGATCCTTTAATCAAAATAAAAGCCATGGAAGATTGGTTCAGAGCAAACCTTATTTCTCTCCAAAACGTGTTCTGTGTCTCTTAATGCTTCTCATACAAGGGAGGCTCTTGTGATCTCAATTGTAATATTTCATGTATTTTTCTTTGGACTGTCATGGAGTCTTCTTTCCCTGAGCTGGTTCTTTTGGTGTTGGACTCCAATTCACATAACCTCTCTGTTACCACAGTCTTGCCAAACTAAGGCTCATGGCAATTGTGTTGAATCTGGTTGGGGATTATAGAGCTTTGCCTGAAGTACCAAATTACAGTTTCTTTGGGACTGGTCAATCTTCTTAATAGCATCAGTCATCTTCTTGGAAATGCCATATGAGATGAGAAGAAGAGGGGGTTAGTGAATTGATTTGAGGACAGAGGTCATCTTATATTTGCAGTCATTAGAAAAGAAGCCAAGAGCCATTCTGGTGTAATAGTTCAGGCATCAGGCTAAATCAAGGTATTTTTCACTTGACTGTTAAGTCTGATAGTAATCTTGATGTTAATCTGGGTGTTGATTGCTGGTGGGGAGATGTTTTGATTTTTTTTTTTGTTCCCCTTTTGGCTTGTTGATTGTCTCTTTTACATAGTATGTAGGTGCTGTTTAAGTCCTGTGTCTATTATCTGTGAGAATGACCTTGGGGGGAGAGGATGCTGCCTAAGGAAGGGTCAGATAAAAGGGAAGGAAGATCCCGCAACTGAATAATGGGAAGAGAAAGAAATTTAGAAAGGATCTGCTCTAACTAATCAGGCAGCACAAATGTGTACTTTCAGACCTGCAAGATAGCAATAACAATAACACTTAGACTTATATACTACTTCACAGTGTTTTACAGCCCTTTCTAGACCGTGTATAGAGTCAGCATATTGCCCCCCAACAATCTGGGTCGTCATTGTACCACGTCATTGTACCAACCTCGGAAGGATGGAAGGCTGAGTCAACCTTGAGTTGCTCCGAATTGAAGTCCTGGAGTGAGCAGTGAGTTAGCCTTATAATAAAATATAAATAGTTCATCTTGTTGTGTTTCCTGTCTGGTCTATGTAGGAGGCTAAGTCCCCAGGTTTCACAGTAACAAGGCCAAAAGGTAGAAATCTTTCTCTATTGTAAGCTTCCTTTATTAGGAATCTAGGAAAATCTTCATAATTAATGTAAGGCACTATTTTCAGGCCTTTTAGCAATCAGTGGCACAGTCACTGTGCCTCCAAAGAGAAGCCAAACACTATAAAATTCTGTAGGACCAGAAGGAATGAGATCCACCCACCCTCTTCCTCCAACTAGGAGACCAAGGATGGAAATCAAAGCTCCTTAAAGAATATTCACTTTGCTGCAGGATGCCCTATTTGATTTGCTTCTCCCACTGAAAATAATCAGTTCACAAGTATGGTGGAAAAGGCCCCTCCATGTCAGAGAGCCTGGAGAACAATTGCAGTTTGCAGGCACTAGAAATGTAGATTGGGTTCTCCTATCAGGCAGCTGATGTCAGTAATATTCAGAAGTCTTTTTATAGAAATAAGTGTTTCCTTTAAAATCAAAGCTACATCTGCATCCTGGCAGGGGATTACCGGACTGTTTTTAAATTTCGTGGGTTTATTTAGAAAGAAGGGAAAAGACTTCCTGCTCTTACCAAATTCCAACGAACATTCTTACATCCCTTCAGCAAATGAATGATTAAGCAAACAAGGGGAAAACTATGTTTATTGTCTATATTATTATTATTATTATTCAACTGTTTGTATCTGGCAGAGAAAGGGGGATAGTCAAGAGAACATGATACTTTACTGTAGCCAGATTGTTATGAATTTGTTTGCTAGGAAGTTGCGTAAGCTGCACAGACGGCAACTGGGCAAATGTACATAAGGATTTTAGCCTCAAAATGAACTTCCCCTATCAGTTTCCTGAAACCCATTGTGCCAGCAGATGCTTTGAATTCCTGCAGCTGCTGTGTTGAGTTTTTAAAATAATACAAGACACAGATGGTCATTGGAGCCTTTTAAAACACATTTATTAACAGATGCAGAAAAAATAAAAATAAAACCACATTCCTCACCACCCGCAAATCCAACAGCCATTGACACAGAGACTAAATCCATCTCTTGCCTGCCTGTCCCCCTCCAGGTGCCTCCATAGAATTTATAGGGAAGGGCACCTGCTCAAGGCTATGGGATAGTACAGTCAGTGGGGTCCAAAGAGACAGTGACATCCGCTTTGCACTGAATGATGCTGGGCAGACCAGACAGTAGCTGGCAGCTTTGCAGTTCTGGAGCCACTTCCTTCACACATACTGCCTGGAGAGAAAAAGAAAAATAAAAGACAGAAAGGAAAGATAAGTAAAAGAGCAGTCACCCACCTGACTCTCGGGAGTATACCTTTCTTATGTAATAAGTTTCTTGGAGAGGAGAAACAGCTTGTAACTGAATTTACATTCCACTGAAGGGCACTGAATTTACTTCTGGAGAAATACATCTTGCATGGTGGTGTAATATGAATAATTGTACATATGCTTAATACAGCTAGCATTTTTTCTTGATCATAATTTCCTTTTTTTTAAAAAAAAAGATTTTTAATTAGTTTATCAAAGAATAAAATACAAAAAAAATAGTGAAAACTAAGGAAAAGGGGAGGGAAAAGAAGAGATATAATATAAAGAGAGAAAAGGAAAGGAAAAGGCACTGACTTATGTACAGTAGAAGATAACAACATTACAACCACAACATTTTCCTTTTACACAATAGTATGTACAAGCCATTTCTATAACAATAAGCCTATCTTAGTTAACAAAAACAAAATTTCATTTTTTGTTTCATTGCAAGCACAAAACTGGGAAGCAATTTCTGAATAGAAACAAAGATAGATATATTCTTTTCTTTGGATAAAAGAATCAATTTAACCATCTCTGCTTCTTGTTCATAATTTCCACTGCTACCAATTTCCTATCCCAAAGGTGTGTTTTCCAAAAGGGAACTGGACTTTGTTTTTCCTTGAAGATGTTTCGCTTCTCATCTAAGAAGTTTCTTCAGTTCTGACTGACCTGGATGACTGAAAATCTTCACAGACCGATTACCCATGTTGTTTTCATTTTGGGTTGAAATTAGGAAAACTACGAATTAAGAATGGAGCAGCTATAATACATAAAATAAAATGCAATACAGTATAGGGATAACATAGACCAATGAACATAAAGTAAATGCATCAAAAGAGTCACTACGCGAGACAAGATGCAACTCGACGGTCCCTTCCTCACCGACGGGAGCCCCTAAGCATCCTCCTTCCTCTCCCCCGAGTTTACTCTCCGCCCCGTTCCCGGAGCCCGGCAACTTCTTACCAGGTTGCGCAGCCCGCCGAAGTTCTGCCGCGACTCAGACATGGCGAGAGAAGATGCGGCGGGGCCGCCTTCGGCACTACCGTCCGCGACGCCGTTGTCGTCGGAGCGGCGCACGTAAGGCGAACGGCGGATGCCAGAGAGAAGCCCCGACGCCCTGCCCACCGAGTAGTAGCTGGGGCCGGCCGCCTGCTTGTACCACGCCCCGGCGGGCGGGCTGAGCAGCAGGGCCAGGCTGAGGCAGAGCAACGCCAGGGTTGGTGGTCCGCTCATGCTGCGGGAGGCTTGCGACGGCTGGGCTGGGAGGTCGCCATCGGGCGCCGCCTTTTATAACACCGGGGAGGCAGGAGACCCAGCCAGGCGGCTCGGAAGCCCCGAAGCGGGCGGTGGAGACGAGCGCCGCGCCTAGCACGTGACTTGGCGGTCTCTCCGCGGGGAAGCTGCCTGCTCCGCCGGGCGGGAGGCTCTTTCGGGGCGGCTGGCTCTAAGCTGGGCTTCTCGGTCGGGTTTTGCTTTAGCTCTTGGCCCGCGTCCGCTCCGCCGGCTTCCCCAACGCGTTGCGGGGCTCCACAAGTCCGCCTCCCGTTTCTCCTTTGGACGGAAGAAAGGGACTCGAACAACGACGCGCTGGGCTCGCTCCTCCGTCGAGAGGACGAGACCAGAGTGAAGGGTCCCTGGTGCGGGGGGAAAAGCGCGAGTGAGCTCCCTCAACGACCGAAGTTGCAGCAAACACCCGTAGCTAACTGAACCCCGTGAGTCACGGAAGGCCGTTTTCTTTTCTGTACTTGTAGGTGTACTAAACCATCATACACGACGATTTGTTAGCTGGGTAGTTTATGGCTCGGTCGGTCGTGGGAACACGGTCAATATTCCTCTCACATCTTTCCCTAATACTGTTTAGCTTTAGCAGTATTGCAACGAAATCTGACTCAGACCACTGAATTTTATCTATAGATTAACTTGCCAGAGTCTTTGTGTTTTCTTTCTTTCTCAAATCACCACATGTAAACAATTTAAAATCTGCTATTTTTACAAAAAAGGGGTTAACCAAACAAGCCCTTTCCAGCATAGCATTTATCTGCAATGCAAATATCTACATTGTTTCGCTGCATACAGGTAGTACTCAACAACCACAACTGAGCCCTAAATTTATATTGCTAAATGAGAAATTTGTTAAGTGAGTTTTGCCTCATTTTACTACTTTCTTGCCACGGTTGTTAAGTGGATCATTGCAATCATTTAGTAACATGGTTGTTAAGTGAATCTGGTTTCCCCACTGATTTTGTTTGTCAGAAGGTCATAAAAGCTGTTCACTTGACCATGAGACACTGCAACTGTCATACATATGGGCCAGTTGCCAAGCACCTGAATTTTGATCACATGAACATGGGGATGCTGCAAGTGTTGTAAAAGGGAGAAAAATGGGTTTAAGTCACGTTTTTCAGTGCCACTGTAACTTTGAATGATCACTAAACAGTTATAAATCAAGGACCACCTATACTGCAATCCTTGATTCTGGACTGGACAATTGTTTCTTGCTAAAACACAATAGCAAGAATGATGCTTTTAATTTTAACAGAATAAAGGTTTGTTCTTCCAAGTATGGTACATGGTTTGCAGCTATAGTAAAATGCTGACTAAGGAAAATATAAATCAGGAGCCCTGGTAGCATCAGCTAATAAATATTATTAAAAGTCAGCATCTTAATCTTTCACAAATAGCAGCTCACTTCATCATTACAGTCTATTAAAAAAAATTGCCTTAAAAAAAACTTAAAAGAATTGTTAGTTGAAAACCAGATTCCTGATTTTTTGCTACTATATATGGCTCTTCTACAAATAAAATATAGCATTTGTTGCTGCCCTCTTACATTATCTGGCTCATCTAAAAAAATCCTAATCCAGTTTACTTTTAGTGCGACAACCGATGTATCAATGATATGGTGTACGGTATGCCTACTGTTCTATTTTTGTATAACAAAATGTATCCAACAGCAGTCCAAAATAATAAATAATAAACTGTATAAAGAATATTTTAAGTTTTATTGTTCTTTCTCTGAAGAAGATAAAAATCACTCTGCCAGTTTTCAGCTATTTCAAATTGCAGCAATTTCAAAAGCCACACATGCACACTTACATTGTGTGACTTAGCAGAGGTGAATATGCCTATCCTGCAAAACTCCAGATTGTCATTACAATTCGGTAACAAAACCATCAACTTAGAAACATGACTTTTTTTGTTAATGCTTAGCCATCAAAAGGTGTAGTATAACAGTGTTAAGCCTCAGGAAAACTTCACACCTACTGTTCCTTTATCTGAACTCAAATTTTCTCCTACATGCCCTTAGTTGCCCCTCCTCCAAATTGTAGCCCTTGATAAGATTCTCCCCACTTAAACGTAGTGTTGTGTGAATACTAGTTAATTAAATTTTATTTAGCAAACAGTGATTAATCAAAACACGGCTTGATAGAAATATATGAAGCCAGGCAGTAACTCCTATAGAAAGCAGAAAAGCAGATAAACTAAAATTAGGTATCTCTTACAGCTAGAAATAAAATAGGGGCAGGTATAAAAATACGTTTTTTGTTTTAATTAAAATTTGCTCAGGGAAGCAACATTTGGGGAACATTGAGGAAGAACATATTTTAAAACTATAGTTAATTGTAGTGATCTGTTGTGTTTTACAAGACCCTGGTATGATTCACATCCTGGTCGGCACTTTACTCTCCTATTGGGCAGGAGATATAGAACCATGGCCAGCTGAACGAATAGGCTGAAAAACAGCTTTTATCTGTGGGCTGTCAGACTTCTGAACGCAACATAACCACAATTAGGTTTAATATGATAGACTTGTAGGGCCAGCGCAATATGCAACATGTTCATACCAGTGTAATATGTTACATTTTAGTTTACTTTATTGTCATTGCACCTCGTACAACAAAATCAAACACCATCTTCAGTGCACATCATGACCATGAAAATAAACACAAACACATATCCTTCACACTCCACACATTGAACCGAAAACCCGCAACACCACACTAACACTGCACTATACAGTAGAATTCAAAAGAGCTACTGCCCTGGGATAGAAGCTGTTTTTCAGACTATTTGTGCTTGTTTTTAATATTCTGTACCGTCTGCCAGATGGTAATAGTTAAAAAAAAAAGGGTTCCCAGGATGAGATGGATCTTTGAGAATATTTTGAACTTTCTTAAGACAGCAGGAGCTATAAAGCTCTTCCAAAGAGGGGAGAGGGCAACCAATGATCTTCTGGGCAATGACATTAACCCTCTGGAGTGCTTGAGCTATGGACTCCTTGTCAACTTTTAGATCTAAATCAGAAGTTTATATTAGTAGAACTGTTTTCTCTGTTTTGAACAAGTCAGGCCCATATTATTAAGTTAAAATTGAGCCTAAAACTACAAAGGATCAAGAAATCAAGAATTTTTATTTGTATACTAAAGCAAGGCATCAGTAATACACATCACAAAAAGTGAGGTTTGGGTGTTTTACATTGAAGTTGAAAGTACATATTTTACAACAGTATTTAAAACAATAGTCTTAATAAAAATACAACTATCTTACACCTATCTTACACAAATAATCCTATTTCATTTAAATTAACTACTAAAATTGAAACTGGAGGTTTGCTTACTTGTTGCCTTCATATCAACAAAGTCATCACTTTCTTCACATTTTATAGACTTTGAGAGCTCAGCTGGTGTGGTACCATACATTGGGAAATCTGTATATAAGATGATGGCATTGAGAAAATACCGTAATATACAACAACAGTTTTCTTCTCCTTGATTCTGTACTGATATTAGTAATTCTGGCAATACAGAACCTATGTATAATATTCAGGGGACACAAAGGGATAAATCTCAACAAGCTTTGTGAATCCATGAGATCCAAAGGAAGCTGGGGGAGAAATCTTGCTAGAGTCACTCTTTGAACTTCCACTCCTGGCGGCACATTGGACAGTGCTGTTGAACTTGTTGAGAATTAAGCCACTTCAGTATGCAGTGCATGTGGAAACAGTGTGAACACTGTCCCCACACAAGAGGACAATCATCTCCAGGCACCTTACCTGAAAACACAAATGTTAATAGGGCAAAATCAAAGGAATACTCAGCTCAAGAGGACAAAAAAAATTAAGATTAATACTTACAGTCAGGGCAGCATCCGTTAAAAGCCATTCGACAAATGCCACAGTTCTCATCATTAGCAACCCAGAGCCAGGAAGCAACTCCATGCCAGCTCTTGATTTTCACCTTCATTGTATTCAGTCTACTAAGTCAGAATAGTATCTGAAGGGGAGGGGAAAAATGTTAACTGCAACTTCTTTTGTTGCTTTTTATACATTTCCTTTAAATATAAAAAAATGTTTAAAATAGCATATTTTACACACAGCTTCATAGCTTATAAGAGGCTCTGTACCATCTTTTTTGCTTACAGTTAAAACTTGGTATTCCTTGGTTATTTTCTTGCAGAAGCTTCATTACTCAGCTAGGGAACATTTTCAGTGTCAGACAGAAGAAACAGGGTTTGCAATTCTATTTAGAGTGGTTTGCCCCGTCAGTATTGGTGGGAGTTTTTTTCTTCTTGCTAGTTAGTGGGATATTGTTTACAGTTTGATTGTTGGCTACTAATCCTGGTATTAATCTCTGCTTATCTGGATGTTGATTGCTCATGAGGAAGTGTTTTGGTCTTTTTGTTTCCTTTTTTATTGTCTCTTTTGTCTATTGCATTTACAAATTAGAAGATGTAGACTGGCTCTCACTTAGCAGAAGTTTCTGAGACAATTCTTAGATTCCATAAAACAACATTTCAAATACCGAAGAGCAACCTCTTTTATAGGTTCAGGAGAAAAAATATCTTAAAAGGTTGCTAAATAAGATACAACTGAAGCTTGATTCCCTACAAGCCTTCTATGAGTATTCTGGAGGGAAAATTAAAATAAGAAATCTACCTTGCAAAATGCTTTTAACGTTCACCCCTCTTTTTGTTTGAAACTGGATGTTTAATTAAGAAACTAGCATAGGTGAATAAAAAATAAAGTTGCTTTAGTATTAAATTCTTTAAAATTGTATTAAACATTTTAGAAAAGAGTATAACCCATGAAACATGAAATGCACATAAGAATAAATATATATATAACCATAGAACAAAAATAATCATGGAATCTAAAATGTAATAGAGGTTACTTTTTCACTATATAGTGAAAAATATGGTGAGTTAATGATAAAGTTATGACATCATTTACTAAAGGAAACTCAAAAATCCTAATTAAAATTCAAACTAAAAGTACAAGGTTAACACAGTATAAGCCACTAACTAAATTTATAGGCTATAATTGATTAGGTCACAATGGAAAAGTAATTTCTTATAAAATTGAAATATAAACTCTATACTGTAAACATTAAAAAAGAAACAAACATAGGATGTGGTACAAATCTACAAAGTAAAATGATAATTTAAGAAAATTTCTATTTAAACCAATTTTATCTTGTAAATGAGTGATTATTTTTGACTTTAAAATATAGCCCTAGAACTTTAATTAGAAATTCTTTAAGCAAAGGACCACACTTTTTCTTATACAATTAGCATAAAATTAGTTCTGCAAACTTTGAAGAAAGAAGTTTAGTAAATTTAATAAGAATTTGTCTCGTTGCAAAGAAAAGTCAACTTTCAAAATTCGCCTCACTATAATATATATTATTTTCTTTATTTGCTCTAGTATTGCAAACTTATAACCAAGATTGTTTAATTAAAGCCCACCTTCGGGGAAAGGGGCAGAATTCATTTTTGTCTTTGCTTTCTCCTATTTAGTCAAATGAAACATTCTGGGCAATTTCAAAACTGAATAATATTTCCTTGGCATTGCCTTGCTATTATCATCCTATTGTCTTTGTTTATTATAACGCTTTATATTACGGCACTAGGAAAAACGGGGAGGCAACAGATAGACACAAAAATGCAGCTCTGCCAGCGGGCTGAAGACAGGCGGATTGAGAGAAAAGCATCGGGAAGTCAAAACAGGACACACTAGCTGAGTTCGCACGACCACGCTCATTCCGGGGTTTACCTAATTAAGTTGTAAATTCGCAAAAGGTGATAGCAATAAAGAGGCCGCTATGACCGCCGTCCGCCTTCCTCCTCCCCCTCCCCAAAATAGCCAACGGCTAAAAGAGAGTTCCACCCACCGCCCCACCCCTTTTATTGTCGTCCCGCCCCCCGCACCAACCTTCGCGCCCAAACTCAGCTCTTCCCAACCTTACCCCCAGGCCCTCTCTAGCCACCCCTACTTCTTTTTGCAGGGCCCGCTCCTATAAAGCCTGGCCAAGGGAAGGCAGACTTTTATTTCTTTCAGGAAACCAAGCTTGTCCGCTGACGCTCTTTCCACCCCTCCATTTCTTAAATCCAGCCTCATCCGTTTCCGGTCCCCGGTATAGCGCGGCCGGAAGTGTAGGCCCAGGAGCCGGAGGGAGCCGCCATCATGGGCGACAAAATGGATATGTCTTTGGACGACATTATCAAGCTGAACAGGAGTCAGCGAGGCGGAGGTGGCCGAGCCGGCGGTGGTCGAGGCCGGGGAAGAGGAGCTACAAGTCGAGGTGGAGGAGGAGCTGGGCGAGGAGGAGCTGGACGCGCAGGCGGCCCCGTCCGGAACAGAGCCGCTCTGTCCCGGGGAGGCGGCAGGAGCAGGCCTGCGCCCTACAGCCGGGTAAAGTTCTCCCATCGAGTTATAGGCCTCGTCGAGACGGAGTAGCGGCCTTTTAAAGTTATCGGGGAAGCAGCGTGCAACGGGATTCTCCGGCGCCTTTAGGGAGGGACGCTCTCTGTTGGGATTTGCGGGGCTGGTTCAGTATCTTGGTGTGTTTAGGTTTCGTCTTAGATCATAAAATTTGGAAAGCGAAAGGAAATGAAAATATTGAACCGAATAGAAAAGATCGGGCTGTACTGATTGAAACTCGTTCTCTTCACAGCCAAAACAACTCCCTGAAAAGTGGCAGCATGATTTGTTCGAGAGTTGCTTTGGCCCTGGCGCTGGCGTGGAAACGGGTGGAAAACTCCTGGTGTCTAATCTGGATTTTGGGGTTTCGGATGCAGATATACAGGTATGTTTGCTCTTAGTAAAGAGTCTTGGATAGTGCGTAAATTTATCAGTTTTCATTTATTTTCCGACAATACTACACTAGTATTGAAGACAAACATTTTAGTTCTACTAAAGTCTTCCTGAAAGGATTTCTTTTATGGCAGAGAATTGATTCTAGCATCAGCCTGTAACATATATTAGCCATAATATTCAACATTGATATGCTATATTTTGAAAGTGATAGCATATGCTTTTAGTGCCATTTTGTTATAAAACTTTCATGCAGTGCTGCTTTATTGCAAACCAACTTTCAGGTACATTTGAACTTTCTGGTAGTACAAATGTTTCATCTATTAATGGAACTTTTATCCTGGATGGCCTATTGATATTGTTGAAGAGATCTGTTGGCTTGATCTTGAAGCTAGGAAAATATAGCTTGAATCTTAATTCAGATGAAGCTTCAGTTCTTCATTGAAAAACTATCGATGTAGTGTTACTGCTATCTAGATGGGATCCTAGGACAAAAAGAATGCTAGGAGACTGATATATTGTAGTGATTAGAATAGTGTTTCTCAACCTTGGCAATTTTGATGCTGGCTGGGGAATTCTGGGAGTTGAATTCCACATATCTCAAAGTTAGCAAGGTTGAGAAACTATTCAAATATTGGCTGGTTCAGGTTCAAATCCATATTAGATTGTAATTAGACGGTCAGGCTTACAAAGGTCAGCCATTACAACTTAGTCCATCCTCATAGAATTGAAACATGTACAAAATAGATTTTGAAAATAAGCCATCTTTATCTCCTTTGGAAAAACATAGATATAAATGGCATGAATATTATGAGCAGTTTTTAATGTTCTAAAATTATTAGCCTCATTGGCTATAAATACACTGATTTATTGTATTTATAATTTTCTCAGCCAGTACTGGTTTTAATTGTTTTAGCATTGTTGCCCAGAGTTACTTGATTGAGGTGGCGGGTATAGAAAATAGATTGATTGGGAGATGATAAAACATTAATCTTTAAATATCAGTTGAAGCAGAAAAAAAGTCAACTTTAACATGACATGCATAGGGATATACTGTCCTCTATTACACATTTCTAGGCTCTCTGGATAAACTTAAAAGACCCTCTTATAATTCTCAGATACATTGACTTTGCCTTTCCATTTTTTCAGGAGCTTTTTGCAGAATTTGGGACACTGAAGAAGGCAGCAGTACACTATGATCGTTCTGGACGTAGTCTAGGTACTGCAGATGTTCATTTTGAGAGGAAGGCTGATGCTTTGAAGGCCATGAAGCAATACAATTGCGTTCCCTTGGATGGTATGTATGTACTTGCTTATCATATCGGGTGTTACACAAAGTTGAGAGGTGATCTGTTTTGGGTAATAAACCAGCTACTTGTACATAAGCATTCTCCTTAGGTGACAAGGAACTACTTTAGTGCAAGTACATGGAATACAGTGTAATGAAGTAGTGGACTGGTAGAGGATGTTCAGAACTCCATTCTTCCTCCATGTGCCCAGCATAGTAATCTATGTCTGCTAGAAGAGGGAAAGCCATATTTCCCTGAACATTATTGGCATTTTTGCTGCTAGACTTATTTTAAGTTGTTATTGGTAATCATGTACATTCTTTTTATTATTCTTAGGACGTCCCATGAACATTCAGCTGGTTACATCACAGATAGATACACAGAGGAGACCAATACAGAGGTTAAAAAAAACTTACCTTAATGTTCATTTCTTTAGTTAAGATAGATTATGCTGTAGCCTATAGTTTTCAGGATTTTGTGATGGCATCTGTATATTATTATTACAGAGAGTAATGGAGTCTGCTGGATTCATACAGAAAACTTGAAGTTGAATTTTTAACTTAAAAAGTGATGTAATAATACTTAAACAGAGCTTGCACAACAGATTAGGGTAGCTAACATGTTATGTTGACCACAGTTATTTGTATGTAAGGGGAAAAAATAAAGGAAAAACACTTTACAATGTGGTTATTCCTCACTCAATATACTGTGTAACCATTTTGTATACATATATATTTGCATGTTATAGTATAATTGATTTGTTTTCCTTTAAATTAGTTGTCTAACTTTAGAAAAAGTGAAAAAATAAATTTATAAAGAATGATCAGACCAAATTTCTTGGTAATTTATTAGTCATGGTTCCAGAAAAAAATTGAAATGGGGGTAGTGTCACTTTGTATCATTTTTCAAATAAGTTACAATGCAATTCCTCAAATAGCCAAAATTGGTATTTGATCTTATTATATACTTCATTTGCAACCCTGCTATCCAGCAAAAAGATTTTCTATTTCAGAGTTTAGATTCCAACATACTGTGAATTGATTTTTGTCATAAACCAAAGTAGGCCTATTGTGTATTACGTACTCTGGTACCTAAAATAGAGGCTAGAGAAATTCTGTATTTTTCTAAAGTAATTGTAATCAAAGGGCCTCCAGTTTGTAAAAGACATCAGATACAGTGATTTTTTGTGGTTTGTTGATCATGTTCTGTTATAGTGCTTACTTTTACATTAGCTTCTAGACTGATGTACTTTGCATTTTTGCTTATGTATGACTAAGCACCTCTAATTCAGTATCTCTTTTGATATTAGTGTAAGTAGAGGTGGTATGACAAGAAACCGTGGTGGCTCAGGTGGCTTTGGCGGTGGCAACAGACGAGGCAGTCGTGGCAATAGAGGCAGAGGCAGAGGTGCTGGTAGGAGTTCCAAACAGCAGCTCTCTGCAGAAGAATTGGATGCACAGTTGGATGCTTATAATGCTAGGGTAAGTAATGTATTAAATAAGATTGAGGCAGAATGTTGTCTTGATGAATGGTTTGCCGTGTACAGCTCCCATAACTTTGCAGCAATTTTTTATGTTAAATAGTTAATGGGTATGTTAGTTTTCAGTTGTTTGCATGCTCCTGGTTAAGAAAACTACACTAATGTGAAAGTCTTGACAACACTAATTATGATTCTAGTATGATTATCTGATCATGTTTATGCTCATTGAAATTAACATGGTGGAACATGTGTTGAACCACAAAAGAAAATCAAGTTCTATAATAGCAATTCTAAAGTACATTTTTCATGAATGTATCTATCTAGACGTATTTTGCTTTTTAAATTGCTATTCTGCTCGGATCAGATTGGGTAAACTAAATTTTATAATGTTCAAATATTATTTGGAACTAGAATTTTATTTCTATGTGCGCACATAAATGCATAAACCATACATTATTATCTATAAGGCCATGGCACTAGTGAAACACATAGAATCAAAATCATGATCTATTACATGTCCGTGTAGATAATAAGTTATCTCCAGTGCTACTGAAGGATCATCCCTGAAAATTAACATGTATGAAATTTGTTCAGCAAGTCTGTATTTAAATTGAGATAGGTTTAGATATTTATGCATACATAAAAAGAACTCCATCTTTTAAAATGACTTTTCTCGTGAAAATCTAGAATTTGGGGATTGTGCTTTTCCAAATACTTTAAAGCTGAATTTGAAATAGTTGTGAAAAAATCTTTTCCTGAATGTGAATCTGCCTTGAAATAATTCATGGCAAAGTATGTAATATCAGAGTTATCTCTGCCACTAAAGAATCAGTTTACCCTGTTGCTTTCTTTGGTTTTTAGTTATTGTTTACAGCCAAGTAATTGTCTTTTCCTTTCTTTCTAGATGGATACCAGTTAAATCTAATGATGCGTCACGTGCATGGAAAAGACTGCAGACATCTCATTCCATGCTCCCTAGTGGGAGGGAAAGGGTGTATAGCGGCGGCTACTAATATCAAGAATGGAATTTGTTTTACTTTTACGTTTTGAAATAGGTTTTAAACTCATGTAAAGGTTTCTTTCTTTTTTTTAAATTCTGAAACAGATCTGTTTTGTACCGAGTTATTTTTGGGGAAAATTTTACTGGTTGCCTGTTGGGCCAAAGTGGCTTTTTCACTTTGGCAATAATAAAATAGAAATGTGTCTAGAGCTGTAAATGTCTGCTTCATATTGCAGCTGGAGCCTAGCCTTGGGGCTGCAAAAGCAAAGAATAGGGGAAAGCAGACTGCCTGCTAACCCCCAGTTAAATAGTTGGTGCTGATTGCCCTTCCCATGAGGAGGGATTCTGTTCTCTCAGGTCTCCCTCCTCCACTCTGCTTCAGAAGGAGTTTGTAAATTCTGCATCCCACCATCTTCTATGTGCTAACTCTTCAGTTGTGCGAAAGCCACCATTGTGACTACTGTTTCAGGGAGATGATGTTCCCTGGTAAAGCTGACTTTGGAGGTCATGGGGAGGGAGTAAATTTCTTGTTAAAGTTGTTTTG